CTCATCTCTTTTCTCCAGCAGCATCTTACTGTAATTACAGAAAGAGGAGAGGGATCCAGGAGAGCCTGCAGTTCAATGTTTCATGGTAAATCTTAACTGCCTCAGCGAGGTGTGCGATGTCAGGACATCAGGGTTATAAAACTGAATCACCCATGGTTGCAGCCCAGAATGATTCTACTTTACTGTCCTTCACAAAACAGTACCTAATGAGATTGAGGATGCGAGTGCTGAATCAATGAAAGCTCAAAACACAATCAAAGAGCCAATTAATGTGCAAGGTTCTCCGAGGAGTTAAGTGGAATAAAATTACCTCCTCTCTTGCTAACCCGCTATTGCATCTCCACACCCCAGCACAATCCTTTTTGAGTTAAAACATGAATATAAAATGTGAATGTTTGTGTGTGTGTGTGTGTGTGTGTGTGTGTGTGTGTGTGTGTGTGTGTGTGTGTGTGTGTGTGTGTGTGTGTGTATTCGTGTTTGTGTGAGTGTGGGGGGTGAGTGCAAGTTATGTTTAATCATGAAGAAACAAACGTTCAAAGCACTTCAGAGTACTTCTGTGTCACCTCAAGGGGCAGGGAGTAGAGAAAAAGTTTGCTTGTGAATCTGGAAGAGAGGGGGTGTTGTTCCAAGCATGGCTGAGGGTACAATTAATGAGGAAGTTGATGAAGAATGGTGCAGTGACGGAAACATTGAATTAGCAGACATATGAAACATTTGTGAGCCTTGCTGCCCCAGGACAAAAGTAGATGTAACTAAGATATGGCTTGAAGGGACAGAAATAAATGTATTCTGCATGTACAATGTAATTTAATGAAAAAGAAGTACATGAATACCACTTGCGCACAAAGATGATTGTATTTCCATCAAAACAACCCATTCTTCCCGAGGACGGCTCCATGATTAAAGTGGGAACTGGGTTTGCTTCTTATCCTTGAGTTGCTGTGTCTATCTCTGTTCCTGCCTATGAGGCTCACCCCTGTGCACTCTATCAAACCAGTTCTATCGCTGCCATACCTGCACTCAATCAATTCAAGTGCATGTGAGAATGCATGCTTAAAGCCACTTTGAGTAAATCAAGCTGCCGATGCAGCTCTGTGGTCTATTGTTCCTTCGGATTTCTACTCTGTGTTAATGCAGGCTACTCACGCTGAGAGATATCTGTAAGTTAATACACCCTCCAAATAAAAATTCTGTATTGGTTACTTATTATTCAGGCCAACCTTAATTTTAAAGTTCATTCTATTGTTTTCCCTGGGACCTGTTCAACTCAGCGTTAAGGAAATGTTCCGGCAAAGACAGTGTTGGCCCTTATATCAAAAATAAATAAATAAATCGCTGTAGGAATGACTAAAAGTCTTTCGAGGTAAACTAGTTGCAGTTTCTCACGTTTGACGAAGCATGACAAAAGCCTAACTCTAAACTTTACCATACTATTTTACTGTATACTGTGTAATACAGAGCTATGTTATGTATTACATCAAACTGTTTCAGAGAGCCAAGAAGAGATATGCAACTACACTCTGCAATAGTAGGGGAAGTAAAACAGATTTCTAACTTTCTTGGCAACATGAACTATGAAGAATTGTAATCAAAGTAATCTGCTTTACAGTATTTTGTGTGTGTTTGAGTGCACAACTGTCTCCAGATTCCACTTTCATTGCATGCATTGTTATATTCTCCTTTGCATCAAATACAGTAAATGCGTCCTTCCATTCTCTAACAAATCGAACTGGTTTTTAATCTTGTATGTGAATATTTGTCTTTCTGCACTGTTAAGAGCTCTCGTGTGATTTTGTATACAAAATATCCACCTGCCTTTTGCAAAAGCATCTTTGTGACAGCTCTGCATACAAATTTGAGAATTTCCATCAGTTACTGTCTGGCTGACAACTTTGTAGTTCACCCAAATGAGTAAATCTTGATTCACTTTGCTCATTGACTTCAGTATGGAGATTTGAATCAATGCAGTTTCAGCTCAGTTTTGTCAACCCAATGGGTCTGAACATAAATCAGTTGCTAGGTGGCACAAAACCAATAACTAATCATGGCTATCTTATATTAACAACATTTTTTGTGCTTTAAGTGTTGTATCATATTTAGTTTTACACTACACTTGCCATTTATCCACTCAATTCACAGAGCTGATATTACTGAGGCATATTAAATAATTCCTATGTTGTTATATAATGGTTTATAACCCAATTTGCATTTTCACTTCTTAATATGATCAATATAAATATCTTCACAAATACAAACGTGATATTTCCAGTTTCCAGCATTTTTATGGTTTTGCATCCAGACAACCTTATGCACAAGAGGCCTTCTTTTATTGAAAACAAATTAATTTATATTCAATAAAATGAACCTGTTATGTCTGAGGGGAAACTCCTTCTCTACCTACCTTGCACTCATTGCTGCTTGAGAAACATCCAGTAAAAGCTCCGATGCACAGACAAGTTTGCTGCACTGGAGTATTTTGCAGATCAATCTCCACTATGTGTGAATCTTAGCTTTGAGATATTTACTGTGCTCACTGTGTGAACGAGCGTAGTAATTTTAGACCCCTGAATCACAACATTCACCTTTTCCAATCCACATTTTCTCTCTCAAGATCATATTGAGCAAAGAAGACACTTAAGTGCTGTTGCTCAACAGCAAGGGTGGTGTACTGACAAGTAGGCCTTAACTGGAGATGATCTATCCTGACACAGATACGATGGTACAATACTCAGATGGGGCCACCCATAATGGTTTGATGCTTTTCGTCATGCCCCTGATTTTTATTGTTATTATCACTACACTTACTGGCTTTTGGCTCTGAGCATTAGTTGGCACAACGGCACACTCACTGGTCCTTACGGAGCTAATGTTTGCCTTTCAAGTGCTGGAGGCAATGGTTATACTGCTGGCAGCAAACACTCCCAGTAATTGATTTTCTGATGAAAAAAGTTGTCAACAAAACTTCAGTTTTTTGTTGTAATACCATTATATTTTTTTAAGTTCTCAACAACATAAGAATTTACAAGAAAATGTTATTTAAAGTAGAAGGAGACAATATTTCTGACGGAAATCTAACTGAGCGATAGTGGCAGCAACTTATACGGTCAAATGGATAAAAAATGATAATAGTTCAATTTTGTCTATTGTGCAGCCCATTCAGTTGCAGGTCATAAATGGATAGATGTTCTTTTCACATTTCTCAGATGAATGGACCTTTCCAGTCAGCTGACTTTATTTTTCAGTTTGTTTGATCATAGAAATATGTGTGCAGTCATTATTTCATGCCCTGAACTCTGTTAAGGGGAAAGTTTGTTGTCTGGAAAGTATAGGTCCATTTTATCCAGTCATGCCTAACATTAAATACCTTTGTGTATTGGTGAAACTTTCAGCTCCAGAATTTATTAAAATGTGAAACTCTTCTTTTTACAATAAGTAACCCTTTGCCCTGTTTTATAATTGCCTGCACATTCAGGATAGGCTTTGATATTTTTTTTCTCATCAGCTGACTGGACAGTCCAATCATCTTTTTATTTTTTGTTTAGACAGGAGAGCGCAGAGATAATGCTTAGGTGGATCTGATCTCAGGAAAGTGGGAGCACTGTCGTTTCAGTGAATTGTTCAGGTGTAACTACAGTTTACCATTGCTAATCATTTACTGGTTTCTTTGGTAACCGATTACATTTATAATTATTCACCATCTACAATTATTCTCCTCCTACACAGTGTAGTTTATACTGCACACTTTCTAGCTGAGACTGTTGGATGCTCTGTGTTGTTGTATACTGTATTGTGCTTTAAATGTCAGCCACTACTGTGTATGAACTCATCAGGGTTCTCCTCAGCACAGCACTTTATTGATAGAAAGGTCATCCGGGATGAAAAGGATCACCATGGTTACGAAGGAGAAGAAAAGTGGAACCTCCTATTCTATTCTGTGTCTTCTGTGTCCACCACAGCCTTTGCAAATAATGGAGGCACCCTCAGAAGCCTGATAAGTGAAAGAAATAAAATGACAGCACAGTGGGCTGTTGTCTTTTTCCCCTGTGTGTCCTCTATACAGCAGAGAATGCCAGTGTGGCTTCAGAATTATTTTCAGGAACAAAAAAAAAAAAAAGTTGTCATGTATGGTTTGTTGTGTGAGACTTGCAAGAGAGCAGCGCCCCACTGTATGTTCTGTGTTTGAACATTTCTCGGCAGAAAGCACCTGAGAAGAGCTGTGCGACTAACAAGATTAAAGCAAATTGGAGCTTGACAATAAACAGTAACTGTGAAGCCTCATTTCTCTACTCAAATCTAAGTGCTCTTAGAATTCCTTTTACATTTCATCTCTCCTTCCGTGTTTGTGCTTCTCGACCCTTCGCACCACCACCTGCTCCTTTTACCAAATGTTTTGCTTTCACTTTCAATTCACCTTGGAAATATAAAATGTAAGCTGTCGCTATTGCAGTTAAATTTAACACTGTTTGAGTATATGGAAGCTTGCCATTTTATTACACTGCACCCTATGCCCTGACTTTTTAAGATGGAAAGAATTGGATGAAATGTTTTCAAAGATATGGTTTAATGCTGCCCAAGAGACTGCCTTGTCAGTATTCACATGCTGTCACCTCATTATTTTATCATTCGTCCGTGGTAGTAATAGCCACTCAGTACCAGCAAGTTAGATAAAATTATTCCAGGATTTTAATTATTTTGAAATTGTGCCATTTAGCATATTCAAATTTTCAGAGCTTTACATTTCATGCCGACAGCTTCAGTTTTATTCTAAACAAGGATTAAATACTTTCATGTCGCCGTCATTCAAAAAGAAATAAAAGAAACATTATCATCCATTAAAAAATATGTTTTTTTTCTTTTAAGAAACCTCCACCTAGGGAGAACACACATCCAAGTTTGAAGCCATGTGTTCACAGCAACACGGTGGACATCCTTTGTTGTTCACCCTCCAAAATACAGTGAAGGTCTATTTGAAATGAAAGTGACAATGAAATACAAAGTCGTAAATGGTAAAGATTGATATTTATTTCTCATCACAAATAAAAAGAACCATGCTTACTCATCACAGAAAGAAAAAAAAAAGAAGCGCTCAGTCTTTGTATCTTTACCGACGTCGCTGTCGGAGTGTTTTTTGAGAATGTGAATAATAGCACTCTATGAAGATTGAAATTCTTTTAAAAAATCCAAGCCTATGCCCATACACTAAAGCCCCCAACCCCCACCTCCCACAACCTGTACCCACCTCCACCCAGCTTATTTGTCCCCCCGAACAATGATCACAGCATTATTTGAGTGGGTCAGTCTGAGGGCTCTCAGTCCCCAGAAGTCTTAATAACCTGGAACAGTGTGACATTGTAGAGCACCTGGTGTCCGTTGTTCCAGGTGTACAGGACCCTCTCCCTGGGGTTGTAGTCCATCATGGAGATGTGGGAGTATTGATTGTGGAAGGGGATGTCTGTGTACTCATAGCTTGATGTGTTGGTGTAGTAGGCAAAGTAGATTTTTGCACCAGCCAGGTGAGAGTTGGTGACATAAAGTGTACCGCAGATCATGAAAGACTCTCCAGCACTGCGCTTGGGAAAGCCTGTGTCCCAAGTTTGAAGCACTTCCAGACTCTGTGGCTCCAGACGGCTGATGACAATGTTCCCAGCATTGGGGATGGTGGTGTAAACGGCCCACAGGCCATTCTCATCCGCCATGAGGTCGATGTCAGAGGAGCCACCCCAGGAATAGGGAAAGGTGTTGTTATAGCCGGCCCCACTTAGGCTGCGCTGCACCAGCACACTTCGAGAACGGAAGTGGTATTTGATGATGATGTTGCTCTGGTACTTGTTGTAGTACAGGGAGCCGTTGTATACCACATGGCCAGTACCTGCCCAGGGGTGAGGCAGCAAGTGCTGCACAAAGTTCTGGCCCTTCATGAAATCATTCATTGTGCGGTATTCCAGGACACGCCGTCCCTTGAAGTAACCATCCATGGACCACACCTGTGGAGAAAAGAAACATGAATCCCATTGGGAAGAGGGACAAACTAAGGATATAATGAGAAGATCTATACGTTATACAAGAATATTATGCTATACCTGACACATCTTCTTAACACTGTGATTAATGTTTTATTATGGCTAGTGGCGGTGTCCTGAGCCAAATAATCATGTTGTGTGTATGTGGTGAATCTCTACTTGTTTGATTGTGAGCATGCATTCATGCAGTTGTGCATACTTGAATGTGTGTGCAAAACTATTGATCTCTTCTGCGTGTGGGAGTGAAGACGTTGCCTGTGCTTTGCAGTCAACCACTGCTTGTGCTCCTTGCCCTTTCCAGTCCACATTTACAGAAAATCAATCCATTTAGCAGGTCTATCTTTTTCCTCAAGCACTCTCAGCGGATCTCGCCACTGACATGGCCCCTCTCTGGCTGCATTTCCCATCTCATTCCCTCAATGCTTCCACCGTGGCACAGTTCAGCTTTTAATTGATTCAATTAAACTGCAGTTGGCTTGGATATTTATTTTGGCCTCAACATATCAAGGAGAGCTTTGCTAAGATGTAGCTCTTGTCTTTTGATGCACCAGACATCATTTTTCTCTCTTTCTTCTCGCCTTCTTCCCAGGTGTAGAATAAGCACTTTTCTTCAATAACAATCCCAGTGGGGGGAGCAGCAAGGGTATGGGAGGAGTCGGGGGTGGTGAGGTACAGCAGCTGAATTATGGAGAAGGGGAGATTATGGAGCATTAAGCATTGTTTCTCCTCTGCCTACTAAATGACTCCCTAGAGCTGAGCAGGAGGCAGGAGCTGAGCCAGACTGAAGCTCTAGCACATTTAGACCAAGCTTTTTGCCCTGGTATGTTTTTTCCTATTCCTCAGCGACAATGACGTTTCCCAAATATGATTATCATGATTGGTGCGGGTGTTGATGTGATATTGTTGCTGTATCTGACTATTAATACATTCAGTGATTGATCTAAAGAGTCTAATGTGATCTCAGCAAGTCGGGTGATTAAAGACAAAGATCAGGGCATTCAATCACAGAAATTGACCTTTTCTGTTGGCAATATGTTAGCCTGTTATGATTCAGGGCGGGGATGAAAAAGGCCATCATCATCTCTCGTCTTAAACTTCATCAGTTTCCATTTTCCCTTACAGATGGCTAATAATCCACTCTCCCACCACCACTTCCTCTGCAGTAAAATTCCTCTCCCTTTTCTTCCTCTCCTGTGTCTTTCCCCCTCTTGTTTCTTACCATGTGTCTGCCCATACAGGACCACATGTCATCTCTAATCAGCTCAAGTCATTACTATATCATCTGGTTGCAGAGCATTTCAGTACACTCCTGGTAATTACCTAAATGATTTAGAAAACTTTAGCCTGAACAACTCATTCATTTCTCCACTGATGATGAAGTGATTAATCAGCTGGAGTTGCAGTGACAGAGGAAGACAAGGAGGAGGAAAAGGGATGCTATCCATCAGTGACTCAGCTTTGCATTCCCATTTCTATCTCTGTCTCCTTCAGAGAGAGACAGACAGAAGAAGTCCCACTCAGGCAAAACAGTCAATCAGTCGGTGAGGTATCATGACAGCGTTGCTGTGAGGGATATTTTTTCTATTGAGCAGCTGACAGAGTTCGGCCTGTTTTTGACAATGACTTTAGTTCAACTTTATTCTCTCTGTTTGTTGAAGTATGGTAGGTAGGTAGGTAGGTAGCATAGATTAAATGGTTCTAGTTCAGGGGTGAGCATAGAAACAGATGGACTTACTCTGTTGTCTGAACTGGGAATCATGGTATCTGTCATCCAGGAACCGAACCTTGACCCTGATGAACGCACTGTAATGGGATTACTGACGCCAGTCAACTTCCCACAACCTGGAGGTCAAAGAAGAGAAAGAGGTAAGACGGCATATAGATGTATGTTTTTCATAGACATGTACACACTGTGACACTGAGTACCCACAAAACACACACACACACACACACAGACTTTTTTTTGTGCCTGTGAACTCCAGTTATACAGCTTATCTGAAACATGGTGTTGTACTTGGCTAGGTTTTAGGCCCTGTATGGTTTTGTCAATTTGGGAGTTTCCATTTGTGTGGATTTATTTTTCATGTTTTGCAGATGATACTCACATATTGGAAGCTATATATATTTCAGCATACTCCTAAGCCATAAATAATACCTTTAAAAGGACATAATGGATTGACTGATATCACAATTTGTAATTTTACAAGGATGCAGAAGATTTAATTGCATCCACTATACATCTAATATATAAATACATTCATCTTTTTTCTAATATTTCTATTTCTATTATTGTCCTAGTTTTCTTTTCACTGCATTTGTTTACCCAGTTTGGAAAGCACTTCATACAAATGATCTGTAAATGAATATATATATATTTGGGTATATTTCTAATGTATTGTCTCTCTGAGTGAAGTCACTTTCTTAAAAAAGCCTATGGAATAACAAATAACAAAACACTATTGACCTCAAGGCTAAACTCTGACTGCAGTCTTTTTCTGTTAAGTCATCAGTATATTCATCTTATATATGTGGGATTTTGTAAAATCATCAATTTAAGCTAACACATTACACAAGAACACGATCAATTATTCATTCAGGCTTTCTGGGCCAATTTTTCTTAATTTATGCAGATAATTTGAACACTGAGCATAGTGGATATGTTGATAATGTATAACAGAGTTCTGACCGTTGGTGATCTTACTTTAATCAGTTATTCCTTTCTTCCTTGCTGTTGTCTAACCTCTAACTTTTTAAGTGCTACATTGATATTTGATAATGAATTGCACATTAAGTATTCAGTGACTACCCACCCACCCACACCTATTTGCATACAACTTATACCTAGTTTCTGCATGCAGGAGTGGAGCCTGGTCTCCAGCAGCAGGACTCTCTGGCGCAGCTCCTCATAATCATAGGCCCCCATCTCTTCTTGAATGGCCATTAGTACCAAGGACAGATTCCTCACCTCCTCCCGAAGTCGGAGGATCATCTTGGCATCTGCCTTGTATTGTTCCAGCACTGGCAGCAGGGGGAGCAGCTGGGTCACCTTGTCTTTCAACTCCTACGATTGTAATTGCAGAGAAGACACATGGAATTGCAGAGGGGGTAGAGAGGATTAAAGAGAATATCGGAGAGGGGATGAGGTCGACCATACTAGACAGTAGAGGGGATTGTGTGCAGCTAGCTCTTCAATCTTCAGTTGTTGCTTCTGGATCATAGATGATCTCTCAGTGAGGAACTCATATTGTAGCTGGGAGCTGGTTTATCTGTTTGACACCTTAGTGCCTGAATTTATCATATCAGATTCATAGCAGAACTGTGCCAGGGTAAATTTATTGTGATTTCATATAGGCTATTCTTTTCATTTCTGGTATACAAATGAAAACTGGAGTTCTCTTTCGTTGTCTATATCCGAGACTACTTTACACATAACTTTCTATTTTAATATTTATTTAATATTTTTCCTTTACAATACATTAACACTTTATCATTTGCTTCTTTTATTTCTCCTGCCCACTTGTTTCACTTGTGTAGGCTTCTGTACGATCTGTACATAGAGATTTTTAAAATTTATAATCCTTTGTGTGGATTGGAAAGCCACTTAATATACACATTATTTTCAGGTTTGCCAAATGCAAGTCTGCTTACTGTCTAAGCTAAATAACTTTTTCTCCTACAGTAAGGACCATGGTACTGCTTGGTGTAAACTTGGTCTGTGACTCATCATGTGTTTAGAAGTGAAAAGAACAATGTGTCCTTAGGTAGGAGTGCAGGAAGCAGCAGGAGAGTCAGGCTGCCTGCTTGGAAAGTAGAAGGCTCAAGAGAGGAATAGGTGTATCAATAAAGTGTGGCCACCACAGGAGGGGCTGTTTCCTCCTTGTTAAGGTTTATCGTAAATCTGGTGATGGAGCAGCTCTCAGCCCTGTGGCGCCACATCATAAATCTCATTTTCCCCTTTTCAAGCTGCGAAAATTCGGTCTCGTTAATCTCCCACGCTTTGCCATTGGCAACTTTGAGCTGCACGCATTCATCAGCCAACCTGCTCTGGTCAAATCCTGCTTTTTAAAAAAATCTTTATTGGATTGCGGATTTACATTCAGATAAGTCCTGGGATATAATGCTTACTATTCTGCAGATTTTAGTCATCTGAGGCTTTACTGATGAATTGGCTAATTTCAAAAACATCTTCATTGCTTCCATTGGACTTGCTTTCATAAAACACACTGGGAGCAAAACACAGCCATTCAAGCTTGTCCCTGTGCTCACTGGTCCCAGTGGTAAAGCACACTTAGCATTTATCAAGGCAACTTTTAATCAAACTATTTTATGGTCCATCTAATATCTGTAAGAGTGTGAGAAATGTGGAGAAAGCCTGGGCAAGACAGCCACGCTGACAGGAAGACAAAAAGGCCCACTGATAATGGCAGCTGAGTCTTAGCTTGTAGAGAGATAAGGTAGAGATAAATGTGAATATATGTGCCTGCTATCTAAGAGCAGACACCAGAATGTTAAGTATATAGAGTAGGAAGAGAGGCTGAATAAAGAAAGAGAAGAAAAAATGTAAAGAGAGAAATACAGAAAAAAACACTCTTCTTCTAGGTCCAGGAGTTTAATAATTCAGGAGCATGTGAATTTGCTCAAATTTCCTCTGCGCATGACTCAATGACTCAGAGATAGTTTTGGAATTGAATTTATGTACCTATGCCAATACGGCAGTCTATCGAGAGACATACAAAATTTTATTGTCTGTGAAGAGCGAAAGAGATTGCAATGCATCTGGCAAAGTTTGTGTGCACATGGAGAGTAGTGCCACATCTAATAGTATCTGCATTCACTCGGCAATAATACACACACACGCATCACTGTACAAGAGGTGACAGACAGCCAATTACCTGAAAGCCCTTTGGATTGAGACTGCGGGGATTGTCAGAGGCCACCTTCAGCTTTCCCTCCACCACTTTCATTAGGCTCTCCGTGTTCCTTACATACTGTAGATCTCTGTACGTCCGCAGGTCCAGCACCTCCATTGACTGGCTAATGTTCTGAACCTGTCACAGACAAACACACACACACACACGCACACACACACACACACACACACACACACACACACACACACACACACACACACACAAACAGAAAACAGACAGGCAACAAACAAAAGGAGCAAAACAAGGCGCAAAATAAAAAAACAGCAAAGAAAAAGAAGGCATAACCAAGATGAAAGGTGAGAAGCTTCAAATAGCACAGAATTTATACATACAGATACACAATACGTTAATAAATTATGCAATGAAAGTCAACAGGTATCCAGGTATAAATATCCTATCTCCCTTAGCTATCAAAACAGAAGGGTAGTAGGCCTATAGTACCATTACGACAGTGTACACAAGTTAGTGGATACATATAAACTAACAATGCAAACAGAATAAATCTCCTAGAGGAGCAAACATGTTGTCAAGTAGGTGTTTATTGAATCTCTGTTCTCAGAGGACTCAGTTTTGAACTATGTTTAATTTTTACTAGGTGCTCAGCTTGCTCACTCTTTTGACAGCCCACTCTGTTGCTACATAACCAGCCTACTGTTTCATACACCCCCTCATCTCCTGCACGTTGTCCTGAACTGGCCAGATATCATCTAAACATGATACAATGTTACAGGGCTTTGGTGTATATAGGAGGCTCACATGTACATATGTCCAAATACCCACACAAATAGACACTCACCCACACAGACACGCACCACTGAAACTCCAAGCACACAGAAGATATTTATTCAAATCACTCCCAGCTAAAACAAAAACAGTCCCAACTCTCAAAGGTCACAGTTTGGCATAAAGTCTGTTTCGCACCAAATGCCTTGGTTGCCTACTCTTCGACAGCCCACTCAATTACTTCGTGTCCAGCCTACTGTTTTCTACACCCAGCTCATCTCCCACATGCTTCATGAATCCGCCAGGGAATATTTGGTCAGAAAATACTTTCTTTACCAATTAAAACTGATTTGACAGCAGTACAGATTGAATAGTTTGAGGAATGTGTAACAGTAAACTGTTGCACCAGCCTGGAGTCTAAACAAATGCAGTGTCCTCCTGGGCTGTGATGTCAGTTCGGACTGCTCCACTCTCCGAGCCCTGGTAACTGATCCACACACACCAGGCATTTCACGCTTTCTTCTGGCCACCTAATATGCTCCCCCACCCTCACACTCCTCAGAATTCAATCAGTTGCAGAAGTGTCTGCCTCATGTCCAGTGTAATGACTCACTCTGTACCAAATCCTAAAGTGTGCTGGTGTGTATGCATGCCTGACTGTGCCCCTATCTCATCTTATCTCATCTTAACTAAAACAGTTGGACAGCGAGGTCAAAGGGGGATGATGTGTTCAAAAGTCTACACCAAGAGTGTTCTCACAACACCATCCTTCAGGGTCAACTCTGCTTTGGATGGTATTTTGTCTGCCTTTGCAGAAAGCTGAATGGAGACTTTTACACAAGGCTGCTTTACATTCTTTGAACAGAGGGAGGTTTTGACATTGTTAGTGTAACCTTGGCTTTCTGTGTCAGCCTTTGTGGATCTGGTCCGCTCAAATGATTCCCCCACATGCTCTGGGTTCAGATGAGGATGTCTTAGCCGGCATGGTGCTATTATGTGCGCAGAGACTCACACATAGTCTTTTGACTTGTGGCTTTCACTAGTGGGCAGCTCTAATAGCGCTGACCCCGGGTGTCCTCATTAGACTGGGTGGTGGAATGCATTTGACGGGAGCTCTTGGCTCTGATAGCTGCTGTCTTACAAGCAGTATGCATATACAGATTGTAAACACAATAACATACACACCCACACTGTAAAATACAATCCAATACAACAATAAATAATATTTTTGCAAAGCTTATAGCATTCCGTTTTTCATAGACTGATTTCTGTTTGTGCTCTTCTGAAGCCTTATTTTGCATAATAATAATAATAATAAGTAATGTATTGTATTGTAAGGGATGACAGGCAATACAATGCAAATTAGAGTTGAAATCAACATCGACCTAAAATATAGTATTTACTTTTTTTTCTCCTATTTAAGGATTGTCAATGTCATGTTTGACTAATTTTCAGTGAGAAAAAAGAAACAGATGTTTTTTTCTGATTCTCTCCTTACCACAGTTACACTGAACCTTGCAGTGTTGACAGCTCAGAAAATCTTTCCAGTGGCAAAACGTGAAAAAAGAAAAATTAGCAGAAAATACCAAAGAGCACATCACTCAGATTAGTTAAAAAATAACTTTGTGCTGCAAACTATATTCTTAAAATCTGATTATTTAAAAAAAAGACAAAATTAAATCAAAATAAACACCAATTAATTATATGTTTTTTGACGCTGAACATGTATTAACTTTACTGTATTAACCTCAGAATGAGGACACTCCTGGCTAGACATACACAAACATGCTCATAGACAAATACTTGTTATAAGCACATACTGTATTTATAGTATAGCATATAGTACTCTATAGACTTGAAGGGAATTTAATCTCCATTTAATCTACAAAATCATAGCATGAGCTATGTGAGTCATACTGGCAATACTAGAAAGCATGAACAAACATATCTGTCATTTACAGATAACATAATGTACTGTATTTTGATTCCGCATACTGCAAACATGTAGACTGTATTCTCCTACAATACATATATACATTCATGCACATATCTAGATGAACACAACTATATTCTCTGAAAAGCGTTCTCTAGTTTGTCTGCTTCTGTGCCGGAACATGCCTTCAATGTTGGAAAATGAGTGTGGATTTTGTCTCTATGAATGTGTGCTTGAAACAGCAGCAGACAGTGACTGTCAGGGGAAAAGGCAAACTTCAATGAGAATGAATGCAGTACGTGAATTCAGGTGTCTCATTGATCCATCAGGACCTCAGAGCCTATTCAGCATCTCAATTTACCAGCACCTCTCCTCACAAGACCACATCAATGTCAGCCCCTTCTGCCTTACACACTCTCTTCTACTTCTATGCTCGCAGGCTTTCACTCGCTCTGTCGATCCACACTCTCATTTATCCATTTGCTGGTTTTGAGTGTCCACAAAAAACAACTCTGCTTTGAATGAGCTGCCACAGCGCATCAAGCAAGTAAAAGCTATTAAACATTATTTATCAGGTTTTTATTATTTCGTTTGGGAAAGACAAGTAGATAAGAATGGAAGAATGCCAATGTAGTGCCTGCAAACCACCAATCGATGCAGTTGTAGATCTGGAGAGTCAAAAAGCAGCTGTGGATCATTTATGAACAGAGGTCCTCTCCTGCCTGTATTGTCACCCTTGATCTGTGTATGTATGTGTTATGCACTAGACACAAGCAGGAAATTACTTTTGCATATACTGCACTGCACTGTAGGTCACTCAACACTCGTGTGTTGTGTACTGTATATAAAATTGATTTATTGACAGTGTATGTTTGCTTTCTGCCTGCTTGAGGGTTTTGTGGGTGTACATGTTTTTGAATGGCATTAATTCATTTGCTTCTCATATGAGACACAAGTATGGACCAAAAAAGAGTGTTGACTGATATTTCACTTAGAGAAACAGAGTGATCACAAGTCTGAGTAAACAGATTTTGTGTGCGCAACATTTACTGTGTAACTACACAAACAAAGCATCTTCACTGATTTGTGAAACAGTTCATTTTCTTAATTTCTATGTAATGGATTTATATTTATAAATTAAACATCACAAGGCCATGACTCAATGAATCCAATTTCATGGGTAAGTTTAGGACATTTCTCTTATTAAGGCAATCCACGCTTCATTCACTTAAGCAACTCTGTTGCTCAAAAAAGAATAGTTCAGCTAACAATGGCAACAGTCTTATGATTAGCGTCATGTTCATCTGACTGATCAACTGTGGGGTAAAGGAAGTAAGACTGTTCACTTCAGCAGCCTGTATGTGACAGACTGCGCCAGACACGAGCGTGGTACAGTGTGGTAGTTTGTGTGTTTATCTGCGTGGGTAACAGTCGTGTCTCAAAGTGAGTGTGTTATTGACAGCTGTCACCTTCTCCATGAGCTGGCGAAGCTGCCTGCTGCGTGGGTCACGGTTACACATGTTCTGGGCTGGTGCGACGACGGTGCAGATACACTTCCCATCTGCGTCCTGTGCCGAGCTGTAGATCTGCCATCCCTCTTCTGGGCTCGGGTACAGAGCCTGCAGAAACATAGAGACATATATGTCTTAGACCAAGCGAAGAAACTGGTTGCTTCTGTCTGTTGTTGTTTATCTATGTTGCTGCCACGCAGACTTTTCAAAATGCATGAGGGCAGACACAATATTTTATTCTGCCAGCATGTATCAACAGAAATCTGAAACGTGTTCTACCCTTATAAAACATTTCTAAACTAATACATTTATCTAATACTTGAAAGTGTTGTAGAAAGTGTTTGGAGGAATAAGGGCTGTTTAATACATTCCATATCGTGATTAGTTGTGCCCATTCTGTCACCATAAGTTAGCTGCAGAGTCATAATTTCTCCATGGCATTCTCTTTCTCTCTTGCAACCCTGTCAAAAGTTACTCTTCCCCAAAGGCAATTAATGGCAATTGATCCCTCCAACTACTCAAAATCACTTGCAGTTTAATTTTAGTTTTAACTGGAGAACAACAAAGTGGGAGAGAAAGCAAAGTCAGAGATTGACAGAGGTGGTGCTCACAGCAGTAAAGACAGGAGAAAAGAGAGATGGAGAATAGACGAGTCAGATATTGTAGAAGATAGAAGAGAGGGAGAAAATAAGCAGAAATGGGTGCAGATTAAGATAAGACAAGAAAATACACAAAGGGATGAAAAACACAACAGTGCGACAGAGATAGAGTAAGATCTTGATGGAGGATGAAGAAAGACAAAGACAAATGGAAGGAAATGGGGATTGCAAAGAAAAGAGGAAGAAGGAGAGATCAGGCCAGGCTGTGTAAAAGCAGAGCATCTAATAAGTTTGGACACAGAGAGGAAATGGAGCTGTTCAGGATCGATAATGCAGACCGTTACCAGTGGAGGAGGGGCAAGGCGGAAAGGGTGGATGTCTCTCTCTGACTAATCCAATCAAAAGTAGTGCTGCGCGCCTGCAAGCACACGCACATGTACACACAGTTTACGCAAAAGCCTGACCAGGACAAACTGTTCATTCACACTGCGGGTACACACACTCGGCATATAAAGCAAAATGTAATGAGGAAAGGAAAAAAAGCAGCAGCCATTTTAGTGATGAAATTAAAGACCCATCCACATAAGTGGAGGGAAAAGGCTGGAAATAAAATCTTGTGGCTCGGCTCTGTGCCGCTCTCCTACTTTCCTCTGAGCAGTGTTGTGCTGTGCTCTCGTCTCCTTGGGTCGGGGGATCAGATTAAAATGTCTTGGGGGATGGGGGGACTGTGTGATTGGAGTGTAAAGTAGCAACCACCCTGTGAGCCAATGTGCTCACTGTCACATCTTGTCACTCCTGCCAATCCCTTGGCACTCCACCCCCTCTCTCCCTCTCCTCTCAAGCTCTCATTGCCTTTCCCACTTCCTCACTCACACACTCAGAATGAGTGAATTTAAAATCTGACTTACTCCAAATGAACTGTGACAAACAGACTATAGCTACATGAGCTATATTTAAATATACTGTAATGTAATGTAATGTAATGTAATGTGTAATCATTCTTTTCATATTTTATCTGTTTAATTATAGTGAAGGTACAGTAGACTCATATAATTTCAAAATTAATAGATCTAAATTTAATCGAACTAAGTCAGGAGTAAAATTCTATTCCCATTTTCTATTCATACAGTATTACATACATACATTACTAATATTTCAGAATGACTGAATGTCTGCTCTGCACACTCACAGTGGAACTTACTGGCACTCTGGCTAAATTATCATCCCATTATTCTTAATATTGATGCATATTTGGGAGTCAGTGTGCAGCCAGTCCCTGCAGTGACTTGCACAGTTTTCTGTCAGTCAGCACCTTTCTTATCATTAGTCTTCTTTGAGGCAATCCAGCATCAGAAGGCTGATAGGTAGAGGGACGACAGAGGTCTACAGAGGCTAGAGTTGGAGTTAAGTCAAGACAAAAGAGGCACTCTCCACCGCAGAACCTCCTCCAATTTCTTTCAACCGCATCTGACTGTCTGTTTCATTCTGCCATTGCCTGGGGGGGAGATTATTTTCCTCTGTCTGCTTCCCTGCCTGCATCTCACTCACTGTCAGGACTTCTGATTTGTTGCAGCATGTGTGCGTGTGAGTGTTCATGTGTTTAAGTATTTCTGTGAGCATGCCTGCATATATCTGTACATATGTACATGCAATACGTGCTGTATTGTATATTTTTATACATACAGCATTTACATGAATTCTAATAGATTTTAGTCATGAATTCACTTTAGCTGCACTACTGTTCTACCCCCAGGAGGTTTTGTTTGGAAATTCCAGCAGCTGAAAAGCATGTTTACTGCAGGATTGTAGGTGAGCATATGCAATGGCTGCCACGATATTGTGGATGAATGTAAGGTAGTGGATTGTGAGGCCACAACACCGCACACCGGCTTCTCATTACAGTATATTTCCTGCAGTGTTAACAGGTGCGGGTTAGCTCGCCTCACACAGTAGAATCCACTTAAGTTACTCACTCTGAGGATATGTGCAGCCTCCTGCCTTCTATAAAATTACCTCATATCCATACATGCGGGGGTTGTCTGCCTACACACCAGATTTTTGGTTAAGAGCGATTCTTGCGGATAGATGCAGAAGTGCGCATCAATATTTCATGCGGCTATCAGCCTGAAAGTGAGCCGCACTTGGTGTCACACAGACATTTCCTTTACGGTATCTTACATAGTGGGCAGTAATAAGTTCAAAATATAACAAAGTAATATTGGAGACATATCAGCTCCATAATCATAATACTGTCTTCATCATCCAACATGTTTAAACTCATGCTGTGCTCCTTATGTGCTCCTCCCAAGCCAGGGAGTTTTCACAGCAACAGATCTTCTCCCCTCTTCATTAATGTTTCATAAATGCTGTGCTGAAATTAAGAGCTTATTTGAATCAGTTCCAATTTCATTACCACCCACCTATCCATTCTGCTCTAACTTCCCTATTCTCACCACAGTGGCAGTTTAGAGAGTGGGAGGGAAGAGGTAATTCTTAAATGCAAATGTGCTTTGTCCCTATATATGCTTTGTGCCTGAGCCGTTGCAAGGAGATCTATATATCAGCACTCATAAGCAACCAATCTCTCTCGGGGGCAAGTAGTAAACTTGAATATGTTTTGGAACGTTGGCTTATTTATGTAAATATGATTAAGTCTCCTCTCTGTAGCGAAGATAGGGTCATTGACATTGGTTCATTTAACATAATGCTCACACCATGCAGCCTATCAGATATCGCATTAGTGTGAGAAAAACAACTTCTTCAATATCTAATCTTATACAGAATTATATTCAGGGTATACATAGTGAAATGAATGGAATGCAATGTTCGCATACAGTAGGCAACTCAGGCCTCAGAATGCTAACATTTTAGTAGTGATGATAATGTAACCTATGCTTTCATCATCATGCTATCAGTTGGGGCTAGCTGGGAGCACTTCAGGTCTGGGGGATAATCCTCTCCTCCTAGACACAGACAGTGATTTCAGGAGAGAGGAGGCGTTCAGTTCACTGTCCCAGAAATTTATCCATTAGATGTGAGGGATGAAATAGAATATGTAAGTGCCAGATTTGAGGCTGTCACAGTCATGGCTGCCATGCAAAAGCCCATTAAGGAGGAAGACAGCAGCAATGAAAACAACAGGAAACCGCAGAGGGCAAGCGAGATGAAAAATCAATTGGTCTTGTTTGCTAAAGTGAAAATGACTCTTTAAGATTTCTGGCTTGCCCCTTCTGCACCAACCCAGTGCTCCCTCTGTACCCATGACATCACATCTGACAGCCTGGGCCAATGAAGTCCCACCAACCACTGCTGGCATGTCCTCCATCCACAATCTCCCATCCTCCCAACAGAAAACTGATTAAAATGGGAGTTACTGATACACTGATATGCAGAAAAGGAAGAGTTGTGGTTTAAGAAAGGCTGACAAGGAAGATAAATATGGCTCTAATTTCCTTTAGCTTAGTTCAAATGCAGCCCAATTACAATGCTGAATGACAACTTCAGTTAAATCCCTGCTGAGACAGGAAAAGAGGAGATGAGATGAGAAGGTGTGGTCATCAGCTAAAAAGTAGTAACCTAATGCTATTCCAAAATTATCTCCCATACACTGCAGACCAAATATATCAGATTCAGATCAGATACTGTAGTAAAGGGGGAACCATTATGAAAACGAACTAACCAACCTTTACCTGAGCGGCGCCTCAAAGTACAAATAAGCTCACAACCCTTGCATTGTTAATGATTAACAAAGTTTGGAGGGATTATCCAATTAGACATTCGAGCTGGTGGTATCACTGTCGAGAGTTGCAGGAAGTGACTTCCTCTGGTGTTTCATTAGACCAACCCTGGAGCTGGCTGCTGTAAAGCCAGAGCTAAATGAGATCATAAATCTACAGCTCCATACTTTATGAGCATGACGGGAAGTCTATTATAACTTTCATAAGCAGCAGGCTGAAGGGGCAAACAGGCAGAAGCAGGCACAAATCCTGAGATATGGGAGAGAGCTGACCACTACAGTGTGAACTGAGTTTGCCATCACATCAGAGAAACTGCAACACTACAGAGGACGGACAGTGTCCGAACAGGAGAACTGAGATAAAGCTGTATGGAGAGAAAGAAAGAAGCATTTTGAGAATGTAGAAAGCGTCTAGGTGAAATACTCTGAGAGTTTAGGATAACAAAGTAAGAGGTTGTACAGATGTAATCTATCTCTTCCGTTTCCATCCTGCAATGACAAGTTGTTTATCTTCTTTTTAAGGTTCACTTTTGTCTCTCTCTCCCTCTGACTCTTTGAGAGGCAGAACAATGCTTTATGCCAGACATTAACATCTTTCAATGCATGTCCCCAGCAAAGTAGAAACATCTGTCCCTGCTACACGGAGCTCAGTTCTATCTTTACTATGGCCAAACAATCACATCTAATTTATCGAATTTGCCGGGTATTTGCTGTAATTGACCACACACGAATAAACATGCAAGTACACGCCCCCACTCTTCAAATGAACAATC